TGCCAAGACTCTCATTGCAAAGGCATGACAACATGCAGGATTGTCCTCAGCGCCAGCTTGGGTCTCTCAGAAGAAAGGGTGCTGTAAGACACCATCACTGCATTTACACACATTCGGACTCACAAAAGATCAGTCACCACACTTAGGGCTTGATTATACCAGATTTTAACATGTGTCTTGGTTGACTGGACCACAAGTAGACAGCCCCCTGTGCAGGTGTGAATGTACCCAATAAAAGGCTCAAAATATCACATGCATATGTATGGTAGTGCATGTAAAATTGGAAAGAAAATTCAACACCTTGATTACTAAATTGGTCTCATGCACACTTATTCTGATTACCAATGTGTAGTTCTTCTTTTACATAAATATTTTTATTAAAAATAATGGCACCTATTTAATAACTGCCATGCAATGTGTCCCAGTAATGCAAATTTAATATGAAAATATATCACTACACAGAAAAAGAACTAAAATCCCATATGAACAGCTATGTCGTGTGTGTCCTATTTTTTAATCAAGGGTTTTATGAAAAAAATTTGATTTTTTTTTAAACTTCCAGCGTCATATTTAGTTTAATAACAAACAGCATTCATTTTTGTAATTATGACAAGTTGGTTATTAAAGTCTAATGGTCAATAGTCAATAAGTAATATTAATAAATGAATGAATCAATTATTAATATGAATAAATACGTATAGAAAAGAAAAGAAAATAAGTCACCAAGAAGTCCTATTGTCCTTTTTTTAAGTCCGTATTAGATTTGCTGATAAACTTTTTTTAAAATGTTCCTTTCAAGGACTTTTATTTAACTTTTTTGATTTGACCTAGTAGGAAAAGCCCAAGTGTATTTAGTTAACATGCTGCATTCCACTTAGGGGAGGTCCTGACATTGTACATGCTGGCTCACTGAAGAAGCTTACTACTGCTGTAGCAGAATGCAGATAAAGAAGGGCAAATACACATAAAGGTCCAGTAGAAACAAATGGTGCAGGGAAAAAAAAGGTGTAAGTAATTTTAAAAATTACATTACAAAAAAGTATTTTAAGCCTTGCAATGTGTCCTCAATGTGCCTTAAGATCCAATCGCTAAGGCAACATTCGGAGGTGGTCTGGGCCACATATGGCTATATTCTTAACAGTGCATACACTAATGTGTCATGGACCACACTAAAGGACTGCCTTGTCATTTGACATCCCTGCTCATCTGGCTTAAACTGTCTGTTGTTGCTGTTACACAGATTAGACTCAGCACTCGCAGCAAATGGTTGCAAGCCGGAATCGAACCTGCAACCGCTGCAGCGAGGCATCGCCTCTGTACATGGTGTGCCGGCACTATCCACTACGCTACTGACGCCCCAAGGTTTCAACCATTTTAAGTACAAATAGCTGTAAGTGCGCGTATAGCATGACAAACCTCCTGCCAGTTAAAAACAACAACACGTTTGTTCTTTGCAAATGGAAACGATGTATATGTCTATTTGTATATAGACGGGGGAAAATGAGATCCGATCACACGTAGTCACTCAAGTCACTCATTTTGATGCCAGGTGTAACCAGGCAGATACAGAGCTATACTCATGTCATCTGATCAAACAGGACGCACAATATACCAGGTATAAACAGGCTCTGAATTGTAGTGTGGTTAAACTGGAGGAAGTCCATGTTCAATCTTAACCCTTAGCCCTAACTTGCCAGCACAGAGCATTACATGATAACAGCATTGAAGCTACAAAGATTTACAAAAGTGGTGTTTTTTTTCTAGTTGCAAACCTGACTTTAATGATAACGGAGAGAAGGGGGAGATGGAAAAGGAGAGTAAAGCAGCACAATCTTCTCCCTTGTTACTTTTCACTCCATCCATGCTCTCTGCTCTCGAGTGAATGAATGCCAGACTCCTCAACCAGACCCTTATATCACTTCCTCTACTGACATCCAGTTTGATTAATACATCAGAATGTATGTATCATTTGTTCTTTGTTTTTCATCTTTTATGGCCAAGAGCATAAAAGAAAGAGTTGGCAGCTTCTTCTGCAACTGATTGTGTCAGGCCCCTGAATCACGTCAAATCAAAATTGTATAGTGACAGACTTTGAAATATCGGCAAATATCATATTGTTGTCCAAAGAATCAATATAATACCATATCATGATGAAACTGGTGATTTACACCCCTAGCACATTGTGTGTGCACAATATTGGAAAATGGCAGAATACAAGAAGTCCAGAGGGGTATTCCAGGTAAAAGGTTCAACAAACTCTGAGTCTAACCCTGAACTCTGAGTTGATTTACCCTGAGAAGGGAAACTCTTGAGTTACCGGTTCCAGAACAGCTGATTTGAGTTAGTTCAGTCAACTCTGAGTATGTTCACTCTGAGTTAAACCGACAATAAAAAGCCATCATCAATGGAGCTCCGATTCCACGATTCACCATGGCAACAGGTAAGTAAGAGACAGTGCCTCCATTTTAATCCAGTGGATGTAGAGATATCAGTGCATGTGTAGCAGACGGTGCACGTTTATCTTTAAAAGAAGAGCCTGAGTCAAAGCGAGGAAAGTGTAAATAAGTTAACCATAAAGTTAATAAAAAAGTTTTATTCAGTGTTGTCCATTTATTCATCATTTATCAGACTTACATTTCCTTAATGAAGATAAAGTGGTGGAATCTGACTGTGTATCAGGCTGTAGATACATTACATTATATTGACTATATATAATAATATATTTGTTCAGATTTAATATGATGGGGAAACACACAGGAGGCAGCAACTGAAAAATAGGAAGATTTAAAACATATAGGCTAGGCTATAGATCAAAAACATAAAGACATGACTGTAAACTCACAGTCTGACCCAGTAATAATATGTTTGGTGATTTGCACTTAAAAAAACGTTGAGGTTAAAATACAGTAGTTTTTAAAATGTTGCACATCTATTTGTATCTTGACTCAACAGCATTCAGTGACTTTATTTCAGCTACAAATGTAGTAAATTTAAAGACACTGAAACGCTGCACCATTGCTCACTCAGAAATATTAACATAAAATCCCCAATATTAGGCTATAGGAATGTTCCCTCAGTGCGACCAATGACATCAGTGATAGAGATCATTAGTCATTGATACGTGTCTAAAGCTTCATACCGATTTTTAAAATTTAAATAATTAGACCTACACATTATGAGCAATAAACATTTCAGAGCTGCTCTAACAGACTGACAGTCTGATCCTTGTGCACAGTGTTATAAAAAATAAATATAAATATAATAATTAAAATAATATAAATATAAAAAGGACAGAGGTTTGATTCTGAGCTGAGGATGAATTCTCGCTGTGTAATATTTGAATGTAAAGACAAAAACCGATGTCCAAAGAAATGGCTAATGTGCATAAATTCAGTAACTTAAGACAGTCCTGAGTAACAAACTAATATCCAGCAGGATTTAGACTGTGACAGACGGTAAATCTCTGCTAATTAATGCGCTTCAATACAAGCTTTGACACAGACTGAATGAATGAGCGGACTGATGAAACAGCGTGCAAGGAGAAGACAGAGAAAAACTCAGGGTTTATTGAAGAAAACCTGTCAGTGAGCAGGTTATGTTCACAGAGTCTGTTACCATGGTGACTGACTCAGAGTTTCAGTTACCTCTCTTTCTGGAACGGATAACCCAGAGTTTCCCTCACCTCAGGGTTAACTTACTCTGAGTTTTCACATAACCCGCTTTCTGGAATACCCCCCAGAACAGTCTCATTATATTTTTGTTGGCATGATATACTCAATGGAAATTCTCATATAGACAGATTTTCCTTTCTACAATGTATCAATAATAGTTTGAAAAACACAGATATTGGGAGAAAAGTAATATACTTACAAATGTGTCTCAGATGAATGTTAGTGCAATGTGCTAACCAATGCATGGCTTGACATCCTCTCTTTTTTGTATGGAGACACTTGCACTCAACCTCTACATACCATTTACTTGAGGTGCACAAATTGCAATTTTCTTGCCTGATTCCAATTTCAGATCTGGCAGTTCTGATTTTGGCTGTCTCCGATTTTCCTTTTTTCTAAGAACTATAACTGAAAGCATACACTAACATATTTCTATACTAAAATATTTCTTTAAAGCCAATTGAAATGTGGCTTGAAATAGTAAAAATGCATATATATCAAAGATGGGTGTCTCATCCGACATCCACAAAAATCTAAGTGAAAATAAATAAATTCATAACAATTAAAAAATCTAGTCAAAAACAGCCAATTTGGCTGCTCAAACCATTTGTCAGGATGGAGGGGGCGTGATCAGATTACACTTGATTGACAGCTCCTTTTAAGCTCATGTTATGTTACATTTTTTTTTCCTTTCAATCACTAATGTTTAAACCTTTTGCTGCTATCTATCAAATTGACCGTTCTTGATAATGACGCTAAGTAGACAAACTGTTAGACCACCCAAATCTGTTTTTGTTTAACTGTACCTCCAGGAATATGGTGATAATTGTTTTGGCAATATTAATCAATACTAAGAAACTCACTTACACTGTCAGATATTACGAGATAATACTGCTAACTGTGAAAGGCCAGGGCATTTCTCTGTGGAGATCTACTGAGCTAACCTGATTTAATATCTCCTTACTATAAAAACAAAAAGGAGTCACTTTGTTAAAGTAATCAGAGTATGCTGAAACTCTGAGGTGAGGTCAACGCTGAGATTTATTGAAGTAATGTGTTAAAACAAGGAAAACTAAAAGCCAAATAAACTGACAGTTAGTTTCCACTGTACAATCTCTGATTACCAGTGACAGAATCAGACTTAAAGTATTTTGTATTTTTGCAGATTCAGAGTGCTTTCACACCTGACATGCTCTGTGCAGTTCGGACTAAATCTGGTGCCTGTTTAGTCTGGTTCATAAAGGCCGTCAGTTTACCAGCTTGTTCTGCTCCATTCAGACTGGTTCCGATCCCATCACCTTACACATGACCTACATCTGCCCTACATACCTTTTATGTTGTTGAGTATTTCCTTGACGTGGCCAAAGCTGTTCAGTAATGGGTCCTGTTCTTCATCCTGGACAGAGAAACAAACATGATGAGAACATGATGGGAGCATGGGAGGACATCTAAGATGCTATTTGCCATTTAGAGTAGTTGAATCTAATCCAATACATTAATGTTCAGTTTCAGGATGTATTGTTCTAAATGCATGCTTCAAAACCACCAACTTCACCTTATTAAGTATATTTTACATAAAACAGAAATGACTGATTCATAAATGTACCCGTAATACTATTTAGGATGTTTTTGATACAGAAGCAGTGCCCAACATGTTGACTCTCAAGAGAAATAAGACCTTAATGCATTATAATTTAACACTGTGGGGAAGCAGCTCTCACTCCCAATTAATTAAGACAAAAATACAACCATTCTTGTATTCAATTAACAGGTTAATGAAATCTGTCCCTGATTAGATAGCTGAAATCCAGCCAGGGCCAGGAATGTATGCATTAGGATAATAATCTCATATCTGTCATTTATTTATAAATGGTGATGGTCTGGAAGATACCATTAGATGTGACTTTCAAATCATAGCAACATGTGAAAATGTTGATGGATCTGGATGTGCCAAAAAAAAACAAAAAAAAAAAAAATTACTTTACAATCCATTATACAGATCTTGTTATCAGTCACTTCATATAGTGAGGAATAATATTACTATTTTTCTATTATCTTAGATGTAAATATTGCATGTTTCTTTCAAATAAAACACATTTTTGACTTGTGAATGAGTCAATGGAATTTCTTGCAATAATGAAAAAATACTGGCAATTATGACGCCTGGCACAAACCACATGTTTTGGACAACTGAAGTGACAGAATGTCCCAGTATCATGGTTCTTATATTGCCAGATTCCAGAGAGTCTCCCCTCTTTATGTATGGCAGAATATGTTTACTTCCAACTTGCTATGGTGAGATACATGTAAAAATGTAAGAATTTAGTAACACAGATTTTTTTTTTTCCATTGAAAAATTCATATAAAATACAGGCACACAGAAGGACATGTAATGATGGCAAATCTGGATAGCCCAGATTGCCCTGAGAAAAAAAAAGATATAGCATGTGTATGTAGCCTTTATAATTACTGTGATATGAGTTTGCTGTGTCGATAATTTTGGCATCTGGTCTATTTTCTTTACATTTTTTTAAAGAAATAGCCTAATATCACAGCTGTTTGTGATTGTGTTTTTTAAATTAGGTATTCCACATATTTGTTAGTTGTGTCTAAACAGACAGCAAAAGAGATGTGCTGACACAGTAGCTCTTCGTGTGAATAGAAAAGAGCATCAGATGGATCAGAATCACTTGTTGACTGGCAGACAGTATAGACCTTTGCTATTCTATTATTCTATTCTATGGCAACAGCTTTGGACCCTGTTTACTTCCTGAAAATATACAAGAAGGAAATAACGTGAAATCAGTGACAGCGTTTGAATTTTGCAATGGAAGCAGAGTTTGATGTTAGTTCTACTGGAGTCCCTGGGGCGAGCACAGCAAATCACACTATAACCCCTCATATCTTTGTCGTTTCACCTTTGATTGAAAAATCCTTCCACCCAAGGCCGTAACTACCATTGAGGACACCGAGGTCATGACCTCAGTATTTTTTCCCGACCTAAATAAATGAATAAAATGAAAATAAAAATAAACCATTTCATTTGTGCGGTGAAAGTATGTAGGAGGACCGATAGAAGGTGATTGAGTGACTCTCTCTTTTCTATAATAAAATTATTTAAAAAAGAAAATTCTGGTACTCCTGTTTGATCGACGCAGCTTTCATACAGCTTTGCACACACATTATTCTTAGATGGATTACTCAAGAATGCAGGGTCGCACAGAAATGCCACACATATCATATGAAAGAGCTTTCCGAGGATACCACACACATCATTGTGCTGTCATCCCATCGCTGTCATCCCATCGCGCTATAAATATAGATCAATTGTCTACAAAATAAAAACCTGACGAATTTCTTTACAATCCATTATACAGATCTTGTTATCAGTCACTTCATATAGTGAGGAATATCATATCTTACCATGTCTTAGGCTTGCGTGTGTTTCTCCCTATCTATCCACAATTGTAGTCCGGCTTTCAAGATGCAAATATCTCCATATTATCCAGATGACACTCAATCAAACTTTGTATGACAAGACCAGCGCACTTCACCTTTGCGCACCCAGACAACTGTAGCCTAATTATGCATGCGTGACAGGGCCATAGTCACCATATACATTGAGGGGGACACGTCCCCCCCCCCCCAATATATAACTGAAACTGAAAAACAACAACAAAAAACGTTCAGGTCAGGCCAAAGAGCAGCACAGAGCACAGAGAAGTAAGTCAAGATCATGTCGACAAGAAAACGTCCAGAATTTTTTTTACTGCAAAGTGGTAAATATTATCTTGGAGGAGATCATTGCACTTGGTTGACTATTTTTCAATTATCTTAGATGTAAATATTGCATGTTTATTTCAAATGAAACACATTTTTGACTTGTGGAATTTCTTGCAATAATGAAAAAATACTGGCAATTATGTCCACCTGGCACAAACCACATGGTTTGGACTGCTGTGAAGTGACAGAATGTCCCAGCATCATGGTTCTTATATTGCCAGATTCCAGAGAGTCTCCCCTCTTCATATGGTAGAATGTCTTTTTCCAACTTGCTATGGTGAGATACATGTAAAAATGTAAGAATTTAGGCACACAGATTTGTTTTTTTCATTGATATAAAAATTTATATAACTGACAACTGACAGATGAAGAGAAGTAGTTCTTGCTGAAGAATAAGTGGTTCAAACATAATTATAAATACCCACAAACAAAGTTTGGTGTGGGAAGAGTGAGAGTGGGAAAAGAAACATGATAAGATGGGATTAATCTAATATGATGTGTGTAGTTCTTTATAGATGTAGCCTCTTAATTTGTCTGTCAAAGTAGACCAGATTGAAGGCTTTTGATATATAATTGACAAAAATTTCTGACCCCCCCACGTGCACCACGACTAAATGACCTCAGTATTTCAAAAATCCTGCATACGACCCTGCTTCCACCATATCAAAAAACACACTTTACCTGATGTACTGGTACTTGTTACTTTGTTTATCAATGGACTAAGTTAACATTTGCACTTTGCTTAGCAAATGTTAGCCAGCAACAACACTGTTTAATCAAACTTCATTAATTTGGACCATAAACATTATAATAACAATAATCCTCATCCTGTGTAAAAGAAACAGACAAAAAGCTGTGGGGTTGGTGAGTGACAACAAATGTTACAGCCTCTCAAGCTTAATCGTTGTCATGACTTATGTGTACTAGCTAATTAGTAGGGATGTCCCGATCACATTTTTTTTTGCAGCCGATCCGATACAAGTCCTTTATTTTGAAACCGAGTCCGATCCGATACTTTGCAAAGCATTAAGAGAGAAAAAAAAAAGAATTCATCCAAGTTGTCCCGTAAGGTTTGTTTTTTATTTAAATAGTATCCAAAAAGCTTATCGGTGGTTCAGCAGCACAAAATGTAAACAAATTCAATATCTTCTTCTTTTATTCAACAAGCAAAATAGGCCTATATCTTTTGTAGCGGTTTGACACATGAAACAAATATTTTTCTTTTACTCAGTCAAACCCCACAAAGAAACCATAAAACCCATAAACAGGTCCCTCAACATCAAAATTAAACTGTTTTTACCTGGTTTCTGTAGAACAAAAGAGTTATACTATACTATACAAAAATTCAAATACAACTGTAATCAGTTTCAAGAAAGTATATATCTTTTTCACCAAAGAAAAGAAATGCTCCGTTCCGTTCAGTCAGTTCAATCCAGTTCAAACAAAAAAACTCCACTCCAGGATTTCCAAATAACATATCACAGTTCAATTTAGTTCAATCCACACAGTTGTTAAACAAAAGAAAACTCCACCCCAGGTTTTCCCGCAAACAAGGAGGTAAAGAAAATCCACTGTTTGCTCTGACTCAGTTCAGTTTCAAAACAATAAATCAAGCCGGCCCGAAGGTTCCAAATAAGGAATAATGAAGCGAAAAGTAACCCCCGGCTTTTGCCAACTCACGGGACCGTGGGTGAATGCCGTAACGCTCCAGTGTTGTTTCGGGCGTGGAGGCTCTGTAGGATCCCTTGATATCCGTGGCAGAATCTCTGAGGTAAGACCGGTGGCCGGATGGATGATATTCCACAGAGAAGCGCACCTATTTTGCAGACTTTGAGCGGTGTAAAATGCCATGGTAGGCTGAATACGCAGAGGACTTCTGGCTCATTTCTCACTTGCCGGCAACTCTCGTCATACTGCCAGGAGCGGCATAATGTAGGGGCCAGTCTACCTGGGCTCAGCTGATCGAGCCATCCCACTGGCGATAGCACCGGTGGGTGTGTCTGGAGGTACCTCAGTGTCTGGAGGTGAGCAAGCCATCAGCTGACTGTCTTATAAAAAAAATATATTTATAAAATATACAGGATCGCCACACTTTATACATTGGAAAGCGGAGGCAACAATGAACAACACAGATGAAAAACCTGGCCATTTTTGTTGTTTTGATTCCTCCGATCTTTTATTACAGATTCCGATTTTGTAAAAATAACGTGATCGGCACCGATACCCAATCCGATCCCTACTAATTAGCATTAGATGACTTATGTTTGTACGGATGTAAATCACTGAGGCAAAATGCAAGGCATTATAGAATAAGGTCAAGTCCTAGTTTGGCAGATATTTGCCAACTGACAGTTCATATCATAAAGTCCAGCCAGAATAATAATCAGAGCCATTAATGAACTGATATGGTTATAACTGCAGTCTGGTCAGTGGTAACAGGTTGGACCTATCCCCTTTTGTTGATATATGATGATGTAATGTTAGCTATCTTGGACCAAACAGGGCCTAGAGATGCAGCTGCTGGACAGAGCCATGAGCTGTTTGGAGACCAGTAACAAAGAAAACGAATATGCACATTTAGATAAAAAACATCAGTCAACATCACGTAATGTGTGTTTTTTAATATGGTGGGAGGATTTTACAGTCAAACGTGAAACAACAAAGATATGATGGGTTATTATGTGATTTGCCATGCTCGCCCCATTGACTTCAACAGAACAGGCCCCTTTTGTTTTTAGCAAATACGATAAATTCATTGAAAATGCGCTTCTATGGCTCTGATACAGCCCCTCTATTTGCAGCCACCACTCAGTAGCCTTGCTCAATGTCCAACCCACAGCACTATCTGATTGGTTACATGTCACAGGTACTGTGAGTTGAACATAAGACAGCAGATATGACTGAAGTTGTAAAAAACATCACAATCATCAACATCTTTGTTTGCTTTTTATGTGTGAAAAATGTTCTATTTTTACTGATAAACACACTAGTGGTATGTTATGGTGAAGGGTTACACTTAAAATACAGCTAAGGATTAGTGGTTAAACATTTCAGTAAACAAAAGAAAAATGACTAATGTACTGATCTGCCTCTGGAGGGCCAGTGTTTACCCTATATGCAACTTTATGCCACCAATGCTGATTTATTTTCTTTTTTTCGTCTTAGCTCTTTGGAAACTACCCTTATATTATTTGGCACTATGGACACTTCACATCCAGGCCTATAGAACAGGTCTATAGCTTGTCCTTTTATTAAACAAACTAAATAGCCTTATGATATTTATCTTATTTACACGATGGCATGTCATTTCTGTCTCTACATGGTCGCATGTTTACAATTCTCCTCTGCTCTCTGTATCACGCAAGGCGGAGTTTCGCCCCGATGCCCACACACACACACAGACACACACACACTAGAGCGCGGCTCGGGACGCATTTTCCTGACCAAACCTGCAGTACAGCACTAATGGAGCAGAGCAGAGCAGAGAGAATTCTCAGGAGGCGCTCCAGCCGGTGCGCTACAGAGTGATGTTCATTTACCAGACGCATTTTATATCTGGCCAACTTTTGGAGACTTTGGCGGGGCAAATTAGACTATGGCGGGCCGCCATAGTCTCGTCAATGTATGGGAAACACTGTTCACTCACCTCATCTGTCAGCTAGCATTATCGTCGTCTTCCTGTCATCTGAACTAAAGTTTTCCGCGTTCCGCCAATACATCAGACAATTTCCTGCGTGTTATTTCAAAATAAAAGCTGTACGGTGTGTTAATATGTTTACCATGCTGTTTGGGGCTTCTTCTATTTTTTTCTCTCTGAAATTTTTACTGAGGTCTGGACCTCAGCAAATCACACCAAAACTATCCTGACTGATAGATCGCACTACAGGTAAGAGGAAAAATAATGTTTTTTTGATTTTAGGGTAAACTGTCCCTTTAAGTATTACCCCACCCACAAGAGGTTTCATATTATCAGTAAATTAAACCTCAACTGTGTCAAAGTTTGCATACTGAATTGCTGTGTTAAACTTACCAGTGGAGTGTGGGTGTTCCATCTTGAATTCCTCTTGATAGCTCCAACAACAGTACTAACTTCACCCTGGACAATGTAGATTTTTTTGTCCACCATGCTGCTTTTCTGAAAAAACAAACAAACAAAAAAACAAACAGAAAAGGGGATGGTTGGTTTTGGCAGAAATTTAAGATAAGGCGTGGTGATGATTTTAGATTATCCCTTATAGTTCCTCTATATTACTGCTTTGTTACAAAATTCTCATATCGGGATACCATGGTTCACAGGTCTAGATAAATTATAACTTGGGTTTCTGTAAAATCTGTCATGGCATAAGCCCTGAAGTCATGAAAATACACTGGATTTTTTTAATGCATTGTTTCATTAGAGTGTTCTCTGGATTTTTTAAATGTCTGTCGCTGTTCCATCTCACAAAACGAATACGCTTACATAAACTCAAATTGAAGCATTAAAAGACCAGCAGTCTTTGTGTTGTAATCTCATAAACTGCATCTATGACAGATCAAGGTCCCCAGTTTCCCTATGGGCATCTAGAGCTACAGTAGACGGAGGGAATTAACAAATGATTCTCAATAAAAGATAATTATTACTACTTAAAAACTATTTTTGAAAAAACCTTTGAATTTCTGATATCGGTTAGGTGGAAGAAGAATATCTGTCCTCCTGCTGTCTTCCCACCTCCTAAAGGCCCAGACACACCAAACCATGTTTCTGCTGAAGACCTCAATGGCTTAAGAAAAACAGTCTTACCTCATACATTTGTTATGACCTCACTTCCTCTAGATTTTAGCTCTTTGTTTACAGGCCCCACTTCGGTTTCTCTTCTTCGGCACTGAGCTGAACTGACAATCACAGTGATTTCATTCACAGACAGGCTCCGCTGTGCTGACACTGATTCAACATTCTAAATGCTGAATGTTGTTACTGTGCTAAAACTTGTATCACCTACCAGCCAATTAAAACAAGTGAGTCAATGATGATAAAAAAAATTCAATAAAACAGGTTTTTTAACAACTGTGAACCACAAAAGGTCCGTGAGCATAGTCATAAATGTTCATACTAAATATTTCACTTATTGTTCCAAACCCATGATGCTCTCTAGGCCCAATGTTAATTTCATTAATGAAAACGATGAACAAAAATGTTCATCAACGACCTTTTTTCTATGATGAAGACAAGATGTAAACAAATTAAAAATAGATCTTGATAATTATATGACAAAATGTGTGTCACTTTCGTTGACGAGATGAGACAGAAAGGAGACGAGAGAATTGAATGATAAATTATTCTATGAAACTCATTAGAAAAATATTTTAAACTAGAAGGCCGAGAACAACCATACTTGCAATTATTTTCTAAAGCCATATGAATGGTATGAGATTGGAGTGCCACATTGCTGGATTTGTGGAGTGAAAAGACTCCCTGGACCCGGAGCTTTCTCGGTTCATTTTTCTTTCTAAATAAATACAAATAAATATGGTGAATCTGCCAAAGTGAACCCAGCAGATACCTGCCACCTGACCACGCCCACCTTACCTGCTGGGTAAGGGGCGGAGACTATAAATTGTTTGTTCACCCCTCAGTTCATCCTTTGCACTCCCTGCCAGCACATGTATCCTGATTTGTGTGCGTCTTCAAGTTAACGTGAGTGGTCAATTCATCATTTTGATTGTTTCCTTTGTATGCCTTTTGTGGTGGCTTTGCTGACATGTGCTCTGCTACCCTACTCTCTTTGCTCCCAGACATGTGCCAGGAGCAATGTAAGATTGTTTGTCGCTTGACCATTTTACTGTTTAGTTGTGGATTGTATATTCACCCATACTTATTTGTTGTTTATTGTTTAATTGACCACTCCGTTGTTTGTTTGTAATTATATAGTCTTTTTGTTTATCCTTTTTCTGATGCAGCACACGAAAATAAGATGTGACAACGACAGAAAGATCAAATCAAAGATAAATAAAAGCTACTGGTGTTGCATTGAAACCTGCCTGCTCCCTTGCCTAATTCCATCATTCCACTCCCTGCCATTGATGTCTTCTGACCGAGACTCTGTTTGCTCACCACACACTTACTCTCCCCGAACCACATCACCCCTACAGTTCCTTCATGGAGTTTGTTAGTAGCAGGGATGGCTGTTAGCAGCTTACTCCCGGTGAACTGCAGCAGAGCGAGCAGCCACCTATTGATCCCTGCAGGACACAAATCAGATCTGGGCTGTCTACCAAAGGTTTATGGATTGATGCTTTTTGACAGGCAGGTAGGAGGTTCAGTTATCTGTGAGTGTAGCTGTGCTGAAAGTAAACAGTCTGAAGTCTGATCACTTTTCTCTGACAAAGATGAAAGACCAGTTTTAATCACAGACTCTCTGAAAGGACATAAATTCAAACCTCCAGATTAACATGTTGCAGACTGAGAAGAATTCAGGTGGAAATAAAAGTTCTTTTCCTGCTTCTTAACAGTGAGATCAATGAGTCAGAGTTGAAAGTGAACCTGGGCACAAATCCTAGTTGTCTCAATTTATTTATTTATGGTCTCAAAGCTTTTGAGAAAACTCTTTTGTAGAACCGTAAGTTTGTAAGCGTGTGGAAACTAGTTGTAGTTGTAGAAAGAATTATGTCTAAATGAAATTTCAACACTTGGTAACACCTGTCACCTTGATTCCAAATTCTTATACCTGTATTAACCCAATAAGATTAGTGTAAAAGGGAAAAAAAACATTTTGACTAAAACTAATGATTAAAAGTTGACTAAAATGTCATGACTATGTTATGCATTGTCATCTACTAAAACCATTAAGGATAAAAGTTACAGAACTATTAATAAATAAGCATTTTCACTTAAAGACTAAGACTAAATCTAACACAGCAGCCAAGATTAACACTGCTTTCACCTGGTGGAGATAATGAAACACACGCAAACCTTTAAGTCAACTACACACACACATGTAAAACATATGGGGTACTGAACTAGCTTAAAAAAACACAAAAAATACAGAATTTACATGAGAAATGGGCATATACTGGCTACTATAAATAATGTACTACAGACCACTGAGTCATCAAGTAAAACAGTCTCTTGGTGTTTGTCATGGCAAACATATTTTGTCTGCAACAATTCATGTGTGTACACTAGAATTCATTTCGAGCTACAGATAAACATCATTTGGACTTAATATTTTCAATATGAAAATCTCTGCTGCAAAAAGTCCTGTATATGAAAATCAAGTCGCCAAGCTTTAAGTGAAACTAAGAACTCTCACCCTCAAATGAATACAGAATCTAAGAACGAAACAGCAAATTTCCATGTGTACCTTAACAATGCCTAAACCAATAGGATAACCAAACAAAATCAAATTGACATGCTGTTCATATTTGACAAGCAGTATCTCTCAAAATGGCTGGATTAACCTTTTTCCTTGTGTCGAGAAAGCCCTCCCAGATAATACTCTTACTTTATGGGAGGACTTAAGAATGCAGACAATAGGTGGCACAGGCCATATTCTTTTGAATTCATGGTATGCAGCCTATTCAAAATAATAAGAGGATGAAGAAGGTATGACAGATAGAGGCCAGGGTGGAGAGAGACGGTGATAGGCTTACACTTGATAAGACGATCATAAATACGTTTTCACAAGGGATTCAGTTTTTCAAACCACCAATTCCACTCTGAATCAGTAATGTTGAGTCTGATATTTTATGTTCCAAAACAACACAGTTGCACACAGGAGACTAAGTCAACTTTGTAAAAATAAGTCAGTTCTTCATCAACATCTCACTCAGTACGTTTACATGCAGCTTGAGAAATCAATTTATTGGCTTAGTCTGACTGAAACCAGACTTTTAAATGCATGTAAACAGCTTAGTCTAACTGAAATTGGACGAGCCATATAGCTCGACTAACACCTAGATAATTCAATTGAAAATTGCTGCAGGTATCCACTTAGTCCGACTGGAGAAGAAGGAGATGATGTAGCAGCAGTGCACTAATTCCCAGAAAAACAAACAAACAAACACCATGGCAACCAATAAGCAGAGGACAGACTTCTGGATGGATGAGGAAACTACATTCATGCTCCAACAGCTAAAGGAGCTAAACATTATGAAGTTTATGGATGGTAGGAAAATGCGAACGCGGATTTATTTTAAAAAGTTTCTGAACAAGAACAGGAACTAGTTCAATACGCACTATATTAAAGAGGACACAGCACCACCTATCAAGGTGGAGTCAGATGTACTTGGTCAGAAATTCGATTTTTTCTTCTGCATTTATACTTAGACAAGACGAGAAGTCTGACTTGACTGATTGAGGAGGAGCCACACGCGGCTTGTTTGAGGGGGAGAAGCAGAGTCATTGGGGGTTCACTGCAGAAGGCGAGAAGCATAGGTTTAGACGTATGGACCAGTGTCGCACCGTAGATTAATTAACTGACAGATTAAACAGAGTAGCGGCTCTGTGTCTCTCTAGCCCTTTTTAAACAGGAATTGTGCAAATTTGCAGGAAAACCCAATCAGTCTTCTTTCAGCATTGGCAGTATAAAAACAAAATCGGGGAGTGCGGCAAAATGTCACCTTAGCCTGCCTACTTTTGTTTATACAGAATGCGCCTTTTTCGGGGCAATGGGGGGCGTGAGCAAGTAACAAAACATGGAGCTCAGCGTGTTACATAAACAGTGACGTGGGAGGGAAGCTGCAGCTGGTCAGTCCTTTGGCAATTCCGTTCCCGTCATCTGATGGTTAATGGCCTATTTGTTTGCGAGGACAAGGAGGGCGCGCAATCCCTTGTCTCCCCAGTTGCTCATCTTTACAGTGTCTGTCAGGTTTGCGTTTCCCTCTTGCTACTAGCTGCTCATTCCTGCTATTCCTGCTATGTTTCCTGTTTATCCACCCCCAGTGGGTCACAAGTGTGGCGTCATCAACAGCTCCTCCCACAAGTCTTCAACAGCCCCTCCTATGGCGGAAAACCGCCTCGGTCTTTTTAAACTAAAAGAGTTCCACCAATATGACTACCCTACGAGGCGGAAAATTGGGCACCTCGGGTCAACTCGCCAATCCGGCTCTGTGTGTCTAAACCCTCACAGCTTGCCGGCAAAACGGCCCAACATTCGC